AAAAACCCCACGTGAACAGGGGGACGATATACAAACTCCACACAGATATCACCTCATGTCCAGAATAAAACCCGGGGACACAGAGCTGTCAGGCAACAATGCTAAACAATGCGCCCCCGTGGCGCTCAGTTATTGTAAAAGTTATTTTTTAACTTATGTCCGTTAAAAATCTAATTAACTTTGTGATCGGATATGTAGAACTTTTTTTAAGACCATTTTAATCAGAAGGCAAAGAATAAATACGATAAAACTTTGCTATGCATTTCCTTCAATAAACTACAACTCCCGCAGTTAACTGGCTCGATCACAAAGGGTTATGGGAGCTGTAGTCAGCTTGGCTTCTGTTTTGATTCATAGAGCGCTATGGTGGTATATCTTTGCTACTGATGTCTACAGCGGTGATTTTGGCCGCTGTATTGGGCGGTGGAGTACTGCTCGTCGCTCGTCGAGTATTTTCAAGGCGATCATCTGTCCAAGTATTGCGTTTCTGCTCCAGCATGATGCGCGGGAAAACGGTTATAGTGACAGGGGCGAACAGCGGGATCGGTAAGGCCACGGCAGCGGAGCTAGTGAGGCTGCAGGCCCGAGTGATCATGGCCTGCAGAGACCGGCAAAGGGCCGAGGAGGCGGCGCAGGAGATCCGGCAGGAGGCCGGGCCAGAGCACGGCGAAGTTGTAATCAAACACTTGGATCTCGCTTCATTAAAGTCTGTTCATAACTTCTGTGAGGAAATTATCAAGGTACAATTTTAACATATTGTGAAAATAAAGCGTCACACTCGAAATATCTTGCAAATATTATGTTAATAAGTATTAAGAAAAATATGAAAGGCTTATTAAGCGCACATTTAAGATGACCGAGACAAAGGTGGGTTAAATATTGCTTTTATTTCTTAGATGAGTTGCTTAAGCTTGTGACTCTTTAAGTAAAAGACCAATGTTTCTGTTACAAAAAATGACTTACAGTACATGAACTTGTGACAATTCTTAAAAACCGTAGTTCTGAAGTACATTAAAAGTCCGTTACGTATGGACATAAGAACGGTTATTAAAGAGAGGAGACATCTACAGTAGTTTGTTGCTGGTTAGAGAAAATCCTTGAAAATCCTTTCACCCGTGATTTATTGACTGAAAAGATCCGAGTATTAGCATCAGCATGTTAGGTTAGATTGTTGTGGAATTCCACAAATCCTTGTGTGAAGAAATGAATCACTGAGTTTATAATGTACATTATTAATTAAAATTATAATGACGTTTATAAAAAATGGGCCAGTTCTTAGCCTCTCAGGCGAACAGTGTTAAGACACACAGTTAAAAAACTGATTTTCTGGAACATGTTAAAAAAAAAGATACACCACCAAGCTCCAAGACATGCCATGCTCATATTTTTTTTATTTATTTACCACAGTGTTTAAAAAAATGTAATTGATGTATCCACATAAGCTTGGCCTGTGGCTTTCTTATAAGTAGCCTCTTCAAGATTTTTTTAATGTTGTCCTTTTATATTTGTACTTGTAGTTTTTGCTACCTGCATACAACAATCTACTTGTTATTTTACTTCTAAAAAATAGACCTGGTTTGAGTGTGTTTGCCCTGTGATGTCCTTCAGAGTGTACCCTCCCTTGCACCCATTGCTACATTTTGGTTTCATGTCACACCTCTCTTTACCTATACTGACTTCAGCTTTTGTTCCCCTATTCTACATTACCTTTGCTTACTAACCTGTCTTTCTCACACCTGAAGAAGGCTTCATGGACGAAACGTTGTGTTTTCTTTCTTCTCTTTTCAGCATGGAATAAACCTATTGTTCATTTACGATCTGTACTTGTCTGCATTAAAAAGTCATCTGCCAGGTGTTGAATTTTGTGTACATTTTTATTGTGCTCTGCGAAGATGAAGACCCACTGCAGTAAATAAAACATTAAACAGTCATACTATGTGACAAAACATTTTTATTAATATGTATAAATAGAAATGAACCTTGGCAGCAATTCATTCTAGTTGTTTCTGTCAGTATGGCCAAAAATAAGTGGGATATAAGTGGGTGTATATCCCACAAGTGGGTGTGAAAGATGTATCCAGGTTTGACCCATTTCAGAAGTGGTGAGATGAAGGTTCTTTTATTTACATTTTTGAGTAAAGATCTGGGGATTAATACATATTGGGGTTTTGTGTTTAAAGTGTGCTAAAGACATTATCAGGTACCATAGTAGAGACTGTTTATTAAGGAAAACTATTCAAAAGCTATGCCTACTGTATGTTGTACTTGTTGCTCACTAGAAACAAGGCCATGTCCCTGTTTGTAATTTGTGGAAAAATAATTTAATGAACAATTATTCAGAAATTGCTGTAGGAAACTGATGTTTCTTTGGATAAAAATATTTTAACATGTAAGAAGCACCCTATCGTTTTTTAAAAGAAGACACAGCACTCCTATGGTACAATTTTCCTAGAAAAGGGAGGGCACGTGGATCTGTCACTGGATTTAAACCTTAGTTACACAAACAGTTTTTGGTGACAACAACAAGAGGGAGACATTTGTTGTTTATTAAGATCTGGGGCCACATGAGAAACAAGACCGTTGTCATTAAGTTAGAAGCACTTGGCCAGCAAAGTAACTCAGACTGATGATAATTCTCATTTTTGTTTTTGGATTGAAATCACATGTTTTGCAAGTTGTGGGGGTATTGTCTGAGTGTTGACCAAGTTTGTCACAAGAGGCAGCAATCCCACACCAGATCAAGAAAATTTTCTTCTGTGACCGGACATGCTTGAAATATTTTTCTTTTCTCTCATTTGTTTTTATAGGTCATTGTCTTTGCCACCTGCATATAATATTCCACACTTGTCTACATTAAACATCATACTACCAGGAAATCCTGGTAACATTGACCAGAAGTTTCTTCTCACCCACTGGAAGTTTTTGTTCTCCTCTGTACCCACATGGTCAACTGTTGTCATATAACAGCTTAGGAAATCTGTAAAGTGTTCTGTGACAAGTGTCGCAGTGGGCTCCATATAGTACCAAATAAATTGATTGACAGTCTGCTAAACTTGTGATGCCAGGGCAGTAGGACTTAGCCTGCGCTCCTATTGAGTGCCTTTACTAATGGATGTATGGTGCTGTCCGTCCAGTTGTTTGCATTTACTGATGTTGTATCCCAATGTAATTAGAGCGTCTCTCGATGGGTTGGTAATTCCACAAGGTAACTAGTAACCTTGTAAATTAGTACAGCCAGTTCAAAAATGTAATTTCTGTTCAGGATGATTAAAACTACCAAGGCTATTCTTTTAATAGTATGCATTGCATACCAATCTCTAATTAAGAAAAGCAAATATAGCTTTGTTTGAACATTCAGAAATGTTTTTTTTTATGTCTGTTTAATTTGGTATTACCACAAAATCATTGCACATAAGAAGAAATTAGTACAGTTTGAAGCTTGCTGTTACACTGCTGAAAAGTGTTTTGTGGACAATAACACATACAGTATGAACATCATGTAATGCAGACCAAGTTCCAGATTTTTCACAAATCTAACCAAAACCATTGATCTCTACTTATTTATAATATAAACTTTTTTTTGTTAATGGACTTATCCAGTGTTCTTACAGATCAGTTTGCTACTAGTCCTGGACTACCTAGTTAAGCAAGTCTGGGACTATCGCTAGTCCATGTCTGTGAAAATATCATTCGATCTTGAATGCCTGCTGAATACAGTATATTTCTCTTATTTTTAAAGGAGGAGCCGAGGTTAGATGTACTCATCAACAATGCTGGGATTTATCAGTGCCCGTACACAAAGACAGAGGATGGCTTTGAAATGCAGTTTGGAGTTAACCACCTGGGACATTTCCTGCTAACCAACCTCCTCCTAGATCTGCTGACGAAGTCTGCCCCCAGCAGGATCATTGTGGTGTCTTCCAAGCTTTACAAATATGGGGAAATCAACTTTGATGACTTGAGCAGCGAGCAGAGTTATAATAAAAGCTTTGCCTACAGCAGGAGTAAGCTTGCCAACTTACTTTTCACCCATGAACTGGCTAAACGCTTGGAAGAAACAGGAGTAACTGTAAATGCTTTAACCCCAGGAATAGTTCGAACAAATCTGGGGAGACACATTAATATTCCTTTCCTTGCCAAGCCTCTATTCAATCTAGTGTCTTGGGCTTTTTTTAAAAGCCCCTTGGAAGGTGCACAGTCCTCCATTTATTTAGCCTGTTCTCCAGATGTAGAGGGGGTTTCTGGGAAGTGTTTTGCCAACTGCAAGGAAGAGGAATTACTGCCTAAAGCATCTGATGATGCTGTTGCAAGAAAATTGTGGGACATTAGTGAAATTATGGTGGGGCTGACAAAATGAAAATATTTTTTTAGTCTTATTTCTGTTGTTCCAAAAATAAATGAGAAAATAAAAGTGGTGGTTGAGTAAATTAGCCATGCCTTACACATAATGCTAATTATGCCTGTACCGTGAAGAATATGCAGAATTCACCATGAAGTCTAGTTACCGGTGTTCCAAAGTTTTAAATGATCGGGTTTCCTTAAGTTGTACTTTATGTGCTTGAACAAAATTTTCTTTTTTTACTTTTGCCAGTTTGCTAAAATTAATTTACAATATTTAACTGAATGAGTTTGATGGGCTGAATAGTCTCTTGCAACCTTTTCGTTATGTTCTCACGTAGCAAGGCTGTTCAGAGAATGGCTGTTCAGATAGACGATAGATCTCTCACTAGGTGTATGTTCATCAAGATAAACGAGGTCTATGATTTTGACTTTGGGCATGTTCTCTCAGTTGGCTTTTCTTGTGCAAAAATACTTTTAAGTGACTGCATGCACATTGGGCTTTGTATAAATTAAGACATTAGAGGATCTGTAAGTTAAATGGATTTATTTGCATTTAAATCTTACATGTTTTATTTTGTGCCATTGGCAAAATGCTACAACTGAAGTGCTAGCAATAGATAAAACGCATAACGTGTAGCTTGCCTTTAAAGGTATTATGCAATATCAAGAATTGAAATGTCTGTGTTCAAATTATTTTATTAATCTGTGGTGTTGTGCACTACCTTGTTCTATACATTGTGGAAATACAGTATGCACTTTGACTAAAGAGAAATTAAACAATTCTGAAAATCAAAAAATCATCTCACATTTCTTTTTATGTTTTTGTAGAAGGGGAGTAACAACACAGTACACTGAAGTTTTTATTTTGTCTTGATTATTAACCCTTCCCTGCCACTTTAATGTTCAGTAGAGTAGTAATTGAACAAATGCATGCACAGAGGAACACAGCTTTTTAAAGACAATGTATCCTGTTTGTTCGAAACTTTTTTTTTGTCACCTAGACCTTGGTGACCAGATTACTCAAGTGAATGCCCTACAGTTACTGCAATTAAAACAGCTGTTAGCAAAATCCATTCCTACACTGTGCATGCAGGATAATCACCTGGAACTACCAAATTCAGTAAGCCATACTCTTTGTTAGAAACAAATGCAAAATATTTCTGTAATTCCAAAGTTAAACAGGTTTTATTTTTATTCTGTATAAATTTAGGATGGTACTCATTTTTATTTGGGGGCAGCTTTTGTGAGAACTGATTAATGCAGGTTAGTACTGTAGGTGGCCTCGTTTACAGACACGTGCCAGTTTAAATTCCTAATAAGCTAGTGTATTTTTAGAGTTCAGTTAGAAGCAAATCATCCATGCTATTTCTTGACTCTGTTGCGTTTTGGCCAGACTGGGGATATTTCCTGTACAGTACGTGAATGGAAGAAGAACCAACCGTTTTCGACCAGTAGACGTGTCTTGAAAAACATGGACTTCTCACCCTGCTTTTCTGGATCATTGCACTGGATCAGTGGATCAGTGCATTTTCTGGATCATTTCAAGAGCGCTAACAAGCAAACATCCATGCAATCCAAGAACGGCTAAATTAATCTGATCTTGGTCTCCTAAAATGGGAGGTCTTGGAGCATAAGTAGTTTAACTTATTTGTTTTACATTTAAGGAGCGCTGCCCCCAAAATAATGTTTTTAATTATACATTCTACATACTATTAATGCTGATCCTGAGGACTGCCAAATGCTACTGACGTCTGGTCTGAAATGTTGCCATTTCTTCCGTGTCACATCCGGTTTGCTTATAAGGAAAAGAAAAATCAGGTAGTGTATTTAAACTTTCCAACAAAGACCTTCTGTTTTAGTGAAGGGGTGATTCTGGACATTGTGGTAAACCAATAATATTTCATGTACTGTGTTCTTGACATTATTTTTTATTTTAATGCTCAGAATTATGTTTTGGAACTACAGCAGGTGTTTTCCTATGAATGGTAAATGATAAATTCCTATCAGATCTTTAGATTTCTTTTATTTTAGTAGCAGCACAAAAGATGTTTACTGGTCAGCGCTTTACAAGTGTTTTTTAGGAATGTCATAATGACACAACCCAACATTTTTTTTTACTAGATTTCTTTGTTTCTTTGGTGTATAAAAGATAAGCAATATGGGGTTAGGTTCTGCAAAACATTTAGTGGTTAAAACAATTGGAACGGGTATTCATTTTTTAACAGAATTACAAAGTTTTGATTTGGTGTCAGCATTTTTCATAGTTACTACTAATTCTTCTACATCAAGTCATTTGTTTGTACTGGATACTTTCACTGTGAGCCTTCATCTTTTGTTGTCCAGTCCATTTGTTCTTTATGAGCAGAAAAATTAAAGATTTTAAAGTAAGCCAGGCTATAGGGAATGTATTCTGGATCAGGTTTTATTGACCTGTGATGAGTGTGTGCCAGGACACCAGCGGTCGCCTCATATCTTCTTTGAAAGGACCAAGATCTCTCAGGCTGAAATGGTTTATTTTTCCAAGACGTCTGACAGGAAGGTGTAGAGTGTATTGACATTTTGCAAAGTGCAGTAAAATAGGAACTGGGATCTGAAGAAAAACAATGACAGCTGTAGGACAGCAGAAATGCAAGAGGAATAAAGCCAAGCAGTGAAGTCCTGTGCAGTTGCAAGTTGATAAGGGCTCAAGAAGACAGAACAATTAACTAAAAAAAACATCCCCAAAGGAGGAGGTTCGCATTACTTAAATCTATGACTTTAAAAGCGATTGGATTTTTCTCAGGCTTTAAAAAATACTTGGAAACGTTACATGCATGTACTTTAACTCTGAGAATGTTTTTATGATTATTATTTAATTTTATCCAGCATTCACACATGGTAACAGTTAGAAGAGTATAAATCTTTTCATGGGAAGTGTGTAGAATTTCCAAAGTATGAAAATCTAGCGTTCCCAAAGTCGAGTTGATTAGATTTGATTTAGTTGCGCAAAGCACAAAGCGCATTGAAATGCGGTGGTGGTCTGTAGAGTCTCATTGATCATAGGCCACAGTTTGAACCCTGGCCAATTCTTACTTAACGTGCTTGAAATATGGTGGCTCAAAAACGAGGGGTTAAGAATCCTTTTATTAATCAGCCTGTACTTTAGCCAGATTGGTTGTTCATTTGCTCTAACAGTGCAGTTTAGATCTTCTGAACCTTTCACCAGTAGCAAAGTTAGCTGTATTTGCTTTCCCTAGGAGATATAATAAAAGAAAAGAAGGACTTTTGTTCACACAGCACAATCTTAACAGCTGAAGAATATATAATCTTGTGGGTATGGGTTTTTTTAACAGTTTGCACATAACATAAGCATTATTGTTGACTATTACAGCTGCCGAAAACAGTCCTCATATTTTACAAGACCCCACCTCCTTAAATTAGACTCCACAAATTCCTTTCCTCCAGCAAAAATATGTTCTTACACTTTTAAACTGCTTTTAAATTGATTTTTTTCTCTGTGTTTTGTTGTATCATCTACAAGCTGATCCTTGTCTTATTAATGACAAGTGCCCACAAAGTGACTAATAATAAAACTGTTTAGGAATAATACACTTATAATTGTTGTTAAATATTAGTTCAAATTAATTTGACATCAATTTAGTAACTCTATGTACTGTGCCACCGCTTGTCTATTTTAGTATTAGTTGGTTTCAAATTCCCTATTAAAAATTGTTTTTGGTGCCAAATATAATAAACCTAGACTTATAATCTGATACCTTTCAATAAAAGTTAGGTTAAACATAATTGAAAACATTTAAAAGCACAGTCATGAAACCTGAATAAATCTAAAATGTTAGTACTTTGGGTTTTGTCTATTTTAACCCCTTGTAAATTATAAGACAAAACACTTATTGTATCATTTGTATTTTATAGTACAGCCTTTAGAAATTTAAGACATTGAACACGGCTTCCCATGTCTCAGAGGTAAAAAGCAACTTAAGTTTCCAAACAAAAAACTTATTAGACTTCACTTAATGAAAGAGGAAAACTCTAAAGTAATTTTAAAAATCCCCTTGGTAAAAATATATGAGTAATTAATATATGAAGACATTAATGTCTTCTGAATGTATTGTAGTGACATTTGTTATTGAATTTGTCAGCGAAAGATGAATAATGCATAAACAGATTTTATATGAATTGTTTTTTGAGCACTAGAGCTTTGCTAAATGTTTAATTATTTATTTGTTGTGTAAATCATAAGGGAACATGTTGAAATCTTATTGTGACAGGAAATCTCTTTTGCATGGCCTTGTATGCCAAGGGCAGCGCATGTGCTCTAGAAACTCCTAGCACCTGTGATTGAGACTACGTATATATTCAGCCCACCAGAGTACTAAAGACACTAGACACTTCAATTCAGTGAAAATACACAGTAAAAAAATGCTACAGACCGTTCAAGGAAGCAAAATACCTCTATTTTGACTGCTGTCCCGCGGCATCTCTCGGCTAGCGGTTACCCTGGTAAACCGTCACATTCTAACGAGGGCTCACGGTTTACCAGGCCTTTCTGCTTTGACAGGATATCATTTTGGTGATCTGTCTTAATTAGTAATTATCGAATTTGTTATCTAATTCTTCTTTCTGTATTTAATGCTGAGGCACCGCTTTGATGGTGTTTTGTCATTATTCATTACACCCTGTCCCATTTGCACCATGGTTCCCTGATCTCCTGTTCATCATGCAGTTGCCTCAGTGGCTTTTCTGGGTGGTCATCTCACCCTGGAATGCTAAGCCCCTTTGCTCCCATTTCCTTGGTTCTCGAAATCAGGATTCAGCTCCGAAGTCGAAAACCCGTTCTCCCCTGGGGGCTCCTCAATGGGATTCTGTTCCAAGGCCGATATACCTGAGTGTCATCCTTTTTTCTGGGATCTTGGCACAAGATTCCGCTCCAAAGACGAGGCTGCCCAATTCCTGCCGATGGGCTGATTCACTGTGGTTCAGATCTCTGGGCTTGTCGCCAACCACCCTTGTTTCTCGCTCCGTTCCAGATTGCCTTGTGTCCTGCCCAGGATTTCACTTCATTCTGCACTGCAGTACTCTGTAACAGTTTGCCCTTTCTTCAGACCTTCACTCTGCACTGTGGAACTTGTTTCCAGTTTGCCCTTTTTCCAGGACTCACTCTGCACATCAGCTCCTATTCCAATCTGCATAGCAGCTCCTGCCCTCTGGCCTGGAACCCTGGACTCCTTTCCGCTGGGCTCGCTCCTTCTCCTGTGGTTCCATCCTACTTTCAGGAGGCAGCTTCTATTGCCCAGAACCCCATGCAGCCATTTTTCCCTTTGCCTAGCATGCCTGTTTTAGTTCTGTAGACTCCTGATCTGGTACTTTAGTTTTTTCTCTGACTGCCATCTTTTCTGTCACCTTTTCCAGCTTATCTTTGAGGCGGCTTATTCTCTAGACTCAGGGCTCTTCTTCTCACTTCTTTCTCTTGGTCTGTCTGGGAAACTTTTCTCTTCCACGACTCCTTCCAGTGTCCTAGCAGAGCCTTCTGTTTCTTTCTAGTTAGCCAGGCATCTTGTTTCCTCTCTGATGCCTGGAGGGCATCACTCCATTAGCCTGAGCTCCCTGAGGATTCCTAGCTCTTGGGCTCTGACTGGGACCGCCCGTGCAGCCGTGCTGACCCAGGGCTCTGAGAATTAAGAGGGGACTGAGGACAGGTCCATTGCCTCCAATCCGTCACAGATGTGTTTCCCAATCGGTCCAGAGGACGCCTGGGTATCCGATTCCATCTGTATCCGGGCGCCTCCATCAGAGAGTT